GTTTAGTTTTCAGTTTCTGCTGCTGGACTGAAACCTGACACCATGAACTCTTGCAGCTTTTCTAAAGCTTTTAATTCCTTTACTACCTGGATAAAACGTACAGATTACTCTTTTTTCTCAGAAAGACAGAGAAAGAGAGAGACAATCAACAGGAAGAAGATATCATAAAACCACTAAAAACAGTGAAGAAAAGAGTTAAGTTTTAAATAAGAGAGAAAGAATAAGGAGATGCTTACAGCTGAAATACCTTTCTGTTAAAGCTATGGAAATGAACAATAGTAGTTTAAAAAAACTCCTTTAATTCATGACAGAGTATTGGGAGGAATAGAGTGTTCAAAGTGTGGACTTCTAAAGAAAAAGAGAGTACTTGTGATACTGTGAGTTGCTGGAACTGGGTAGAGTGAAGATTTTGGAGCCTTGGGGGGCAAAGAAAACTCTTTTTCCAGGAAAGCTCACAGAGACAGATGAAGAAGACTTTTGCCTTTGAATAACTCATCCTTAAAATGACATCCCTAAACTCATGGCCCATACACACCTCAGAGTGATGTGAAATGGGAGGAGAGAACTCTGATGACAGATTTCCGGGCAGCTGACATCAGAGCAATAGGAAACTATAACAGCAATAGTTTTCTTGTGAGAAACTCCATAAGTTAACAGAAAGAGACTTCTGTTTCTCTACCAAGACTGATGAAAAGACTGTAGCAAGAACTGGGACTGTTTTTAACCACCAAAGTTCTAAAGTTTTTTTGTCTCTTTGTTGTCATGTGTACAAAAAATGGTCAAGTAGTGAGAGATAAAAGGGTTTTCTGGAAGTTTATTCTAGTGTTCTTATTCTTGTAGTTTGTTAATAAACTGTCTTTATTCCTTTTAAGTTTTTAGCCTGTTTTGCTCTTGTTCTAATCCGTATCTCACAGCAAGAAATAAGTAATTTTTTTAGTTATTAGTTTAAAACCACAACACTATGTTTTGTAGTGTTTTCCCTCTTGTGTTTCTATTGTGGCACCTCTCTTCTAGTCAGACCTCAGATCTTGTCCCAAATCAACACTTGTTTTTTATCAGCTGTCAGAAACACACATCTTTTTCATGAGGACACAAAACATCCCACTAATGCATTTCTGCAATCTTTTCATGGAGTTGCAAGTTTTTATGCAGCAATCCTGATGCTACATTTTCTGCCCAGTTATTTTATATGTAATTTCTTATGGGAAAAGAATTATCAGAGATGTAAGTTCCAAATCCTAGTAGGTGTCAAGGAGAACACATACCCATGTTCACCCCTCTCTCATTATAGTCATGTTCTACTTCTCTGTGCACGTGGTCTTTATCCCCAAAAATCCTGACATACTTTTAAATAATTTGTTCAGGGCTTTAGGACTGGAGTTCACAACTCACTGAGGATAGGTTGTAAACTTGATGTCTCAAATGATTTCAGAATTGTGAGAATGCAGCACAATCTCTGTTTTCCATGTCACTGTCATTTTGTTAAATAAACCCAGCTCTCATCAGTATTTTAACTGATTTATCAGAACACATAAACATGTGAAGCTGAAATACCAGATTTTTTTACCAAGTCAAGAGCAATGAAAACCATTAATTCTTTAATGCCCATTTAAAATACAGAAAAATAGGCAATTTTACTTGTATACTTACAGACACAAAATGGATAACCATAGAATCCATCAGCACAGCGTTCACAGTGGTCTCCCTGGAAATTATGCTTACAGAAGCAGCGGCCAGACCCTTCCTCACAGCCATCTGAGTGCTCCAAGTTGCAACTGCAGGCTATGAAAAAGTACCAACAACTAGGCATCCTTTGGAAAATAATCAATTTGCCTTTTACAGCAGTGAACAATGGCATTGTAACAACAAACCTGCAGATGTGAATGACTCATTATTTAAAGAGTTAACATTTCCCAAGTACTTACATATCACCAATATATCCCTTAAAAGCAAAATCCATGTTATTTTCTTAGAGCATTTAGACGTTTTTCACTCCCAAAGCTGCACATTGTTCCTTCACAGCACTGCAGCAATTTTTCTGTGGCAACCACTCATTTCTCTCCATGGTCTAGGCTAAGCACCACACTATTCACTTCCATTTACACACTATGACCACAGCCCTGCTGACTTCCCACTCCTTTCAATCCCCAAACACAACGTAACTCTAGTTTCTTTCTACCTGTCACATGGCTCCTTCAGCCTGTTTGTAATCCAGCACTTTCCTCTTACCTACACCCAGTTCTTTTTCAAATGTTCTATTAGTAATTACCCTATTGCATCACTTATTAGTCAATGGACTCAGCACTGCATAAGATCGGAGTAGTGATCTTGGTGACCTGTTGAGCTACAGAATAAAACTTTCAAGCCACCAAGGGTCAAAGGATAACTCACATGTACATCAGAGAGGTAGGACAAACAAGATCATGAGAACAGGAGATGAGAATGGCTTCCTAGGGGTCCTGAGATCCTCCTCACTGTGGGGTGGGTACAGCATCCCAGGTTTCCATGGTCCTATCTCTTCCATACCCTTTTCTGGGCTACTACCTATCTTTCTGCTGCTCTGAGTATGCTCATATGACACATAAGCTGAGAAGAATATAATTTAAAAGGTTCAAAGCAACACAGAAGTTAATTTGTAGCTGCTCTCCAACATCTTTTGCCCACTCTTTCATTTCTTCCTCCCCAAAAGACGCATCCTATGCCTTGATTATAGCCCAAACCCCTCAAGCCACCAGGAGAAGACATTCCATAGAGAAGGACTCACGTATGCAACCATCGGGAGCTCTCACTGGAACACCGTAAGGACGATAGTAACCTTTTGCACACTTCTCACAGTTAATCCCAGCCGTGTTATGCTGTGCAAAATAAAACAAAAGGATAATACAAGATAAAGAGAGGAACTAGGAAGAATAAGAAACAATAACATCCTTTACACTGTTTCCACATACAATTAAGGAGGGGAAAAAATGGAATGTGACTGCAATAAATAACCAATCATCATGTGGTGTTCTTTAACCACCTGTTCTCTACAGTGTTCTGAATCATGAATTCTCACATAAAGCAGCTGAATTTTTTCTTTAATGCATTATAAGCCCCTCCTCCCATTAAAAAATATATTTGGAAAAATATCCCTTTATATCATAAAATATCTCTTTTTAGGCTACTTTCTTACCACCATATACATATTTCTCAAGAAACTGCATCATGATTTTTTTCTTATGCTACATATTAATTTTCTTGTGTCTAAAATCAGCAATACCAGAAGAAATTGAAAACTGAACAGTCCCATGAGCACAAAATAGATCTTCCACGAGAAAAGTGTGTGTCTCTATAAATATGTGGTTCAGGCACACCAGAAAAAAAAATCCTAAGTAATTTGAACTACAGCAGTGATGGCAAGTACAAGTTGAGTAAATCATGGTCATAAGGCACCCTGATGAGCTCATACACAAGAGCCAAGAGCAGGAAGCTCTGCCCTGGAGCAACTGAAACACTTGTCCCAGCCCCTGCTCCCTGTCTAGTTCCTCCTTAGGGAGTGCTGCAATTCAGGGCTGAGCAGGGACACAGTTTCCTGGATGGACTGGTGAGCAGTTCATGAGCAGGGCACTCAGGACTCTGCACGTTCTTCAGCGGCTACTGGAGCTCACTCCAGCAGCACATCAGTGGCCCCAGCCCAGACAGAGCTTCAGGAAGATGTCAGAAGGACAATGCAGCAAGGTGCAAGTAATCCACAAGTTATTTTGAATGTATGAAAGACATGCAAAAAAGACGAACAGCAGAATTATAGTTCTGGGCTTCTGTAAAGCAGATTTGTCCTTGCTCAGAGAGCTGCTTGACAAGATCCTGTGTGAAAGTCTCCTGGGTGGGAAAGGAGACCAAGAAAGGCAGTTGACCCTCATGGACTGCCTCTTTTGAACTAGAACAATTTTTTCCAACTTGCAAGCATGGCAGAAGGTCAGCACAGATAAACACAGAGTTCCTGACTGATCTCAAACTCAAAAAGAAAGTGCATGGAAGGTGGAAGCAGGGACAGGCTACTTGATGGCAATACAAAGACATTGCCCAAAAATGCAATGTCTTTGTATTTTGTATTTTGGCTTTCCTAACTCCAGAAGGAGTTAGGAAAGCCAAAGTTTAAGCAGAGTTAGAACTACCAACGAAGGTGAAGTGCAAAAAGAAAGATTCCAGGAGTAGAAGAGCAACAAAAGAAAAGCTAATGGGGGTAGGGGCCCATTGCTCAATGAGGAAGGAGATCCAGTGAACAAATTTAGAACACACAAAAGACAGGAAGGTGATGGGACATATCCAACATAGTTTACCCAGGGCAAAACATTCCCAAATCAACCTCATGGACCTCTGTGATACAATAACAGGTGCTGTGGGCAGACCCACGCAGATGGTGAGGGACTGAAGCACATGACATCCAAGAAGAGGCTGAGATGGTTGGGTTTCTTCAGCATTAAGAGAAGGGCAAATTTATTGCTACCCACAACTACCGGATCAGAGAATACAGAGTGGATGGACCCAGACTCTGATCAGAGGTGCACAGCAAAAGGATGAGGCAACAGGGACAGACTGGAACATGGAAAATTTCGATTAGATATTAGGGACAAAATTTGTCATGCAGGCAGTCAAACACTGAAATAGGTTGCCATGAGTGGTTGTAGCATTCCAGCCTTTGGAGGTGTTCAAAGCTTGGAGGAACGAGTTCCTGAGCAACCTAATCATATTAGACCTACTCTGGGTAGGACTATGTGATTTCCAGAGCTCCTTTGTCATCATACCCTAAAGAAACTGATTCTATCTTTGTATGCAACACTTCAGTTATATCACTTCTTCATTCAGGCATCCATTCCTAAAACTTTTCTTTCCCCTGACACAGATAAAGTAAACTTAAATTCATGCACTTAGTCAATGGAAAAAAAAAAAACAAACAAAAAAAACTCTAATTTGATTTAAACCCATTTAATCCAACTTAACTACCACAAAATTAATTATGAACAATTTGTACCAGTCATATAATTAGGATTTGTAGATTTAGACTAATTTTACTCTTTTCTATCTTTGAAGCAGTATTAAAAAGAAATGTTCTTTCATGAACAAAGACCTGAAACAAGGTCATTTCATGAACAAGACAGAAAGAACCAACATGGTAAATCTTTCTAGAACATGAACAAAGAGCATGAACATAGCATTACTAGAGCATGAACAAAGTTCTGCACAGAAATGTCAATGGAAAACAAAGAACATTTCTTCTACTCATGTTAGTAAAAATAACTCTACTCTTTTCTGACTGCCTTTTGGACAATATCTGATTATACTGTGGTAACAATATGGAAAGCACTCTATACTGGATATCTGCCCTTTTTGTTGCTTAAATACAGCTATATTTTAAAATGCACAACATGGTAATACATAAATCATGACACATAGATTTCACAGGAACATAGAATTGACAACAATCCTCCTGTAATGCAAAATTCTGGTCAGCTGCTTGTCATACATCAGATGACTTGACAATAAAAGGAAGATGGACTTCCAAGTAAGTCTGGATTTATTTAACCACGAGATCACTGAACCAATGAATAACTCATGTTGTAATGGACCTTGGGAGGTCAAGTAGTTCAGTCCTGTTACAAGCAGAGATAAGGCCAAGATTAGATCTCTATCACTCTTATTGGATCTTTCCTCACAGTCATTGCTAGAGTAGAACAAAGCCAGAATTAAAGAAATTCTTGCTCTTTCCAAGAATGTGCTATCCATTTATCACAGACACAGTGTAAAGTCTCTGATTCCATATTTACAACTTTTGATTCAATCTAATGGAGCCTCTAAGATAGTTATAGAGCTCCTCCTCTCAGTTTCCAGGGGAAACTAAGGGAATGACTTTGGCTGGCGTGGAGGGGGAAGGTGCCTAATGGCTGTTTACCTGAGGTATCTCTACAGAAAAGACAGAGCCAACTCTTCCCACATAAACAGCACAAGCCCAAAAGCTATCACAAGCTGCAATTGGGGAAATTCCTACTGAACAGGAGTGTGATTAAGTGCTGTTAAAGATTACCCAGAGTGTGTGTAAAGTGCATCCTCAGAAATTTGCAGAATTCAATTGGGTGTTTCTCAGTGCAACTGGATTTAATTTTGCACCTAGCCTTGGTTTGAGTGGAGCACTAGTCCAAAAGGATTCCAGAGCCCTCTTCTATGATTCTGTGCGTTCCCAATATCTCTAACTTTCCATCTTGGTATAGTCTAGATCCTCTCTTACTTCTGCTGATATGAGAGAGCACTCTGTTTTGCTGCAGTAAGTATCCAGCTGGCCTGAGTTGGCATTTTATTTGGTTAATTTTACCTCCTTCTGTAAAGCAGGGAAATGGCAGACTTTGTAATAACAGGAAAGGGAATTTTTATAACTGACTAAATTGTTTGGTTTGATTGAGTGGTTTTATTTTGATCACACAGGACTGAGCATAAATACAATTTTTATGTGTCTTTTGCACATTACCAAGAAATGTTGAACAAGGTAAATTATTTCCGCACCTTTTTCCACAGTTTAAGTACAAGTAGTAATACCATCAGAGAAATGGGCCTATCTGGACTGGTCAGACCTAAAACTACTGGTGTGAACATTTTTTTAAACTGATCAAAATGACCTTTTTACCTGGCAGTTAATGCAGACTCCTCCACCTTCATAATGCCCATGGATGTTTAAGCTTTCTTGACGCTGATCAACGTCAGCATCATAGTAGCAATCAGTGGCATGTCCATGGCAATTGCAGGCTGAAAAAGTAATATTCCAAGTCAGCTTTCTTTATAATGCTAGAATCTAGAAATCTCCAGCATTCACCTCCGGCAGAGGTATAAAAGAAGACCAGATTTTTTATGTGACATACACTTAGGTATGCTGGAATACACTCAAATGCACATATTTACCTATAAACAACCCGATTTTCATACCAGAAACAGAGTACAGTAATGCAGACATGAAGAAAATGTGCAGGTAGTCTTACCAGAGAAGGTAACAATTGTACCATCTCAAAGCTATATAGTTATGCATAAATGCAGAACTAGGAAGCTCCGGAAGAATGGCCACAGCAGGTTTTTTTAAATTATCAAAAATGTGCTCAAATGTTTATTTCTTCATGTCTCAAAAACACATCTGGACTGATGCTAAGTGCACTAAATCTTTATTTAAAGTGAACAATTCTAGATAAGATATACACATTTAAATGAAAAGACCTACACCAAAGAATTCTTATATTCTGCTGTAGATAACACTATACCAGCAAACTTGGCTATAATAAAATTCTGAATAGAAAGGAACCATAACAACAAATAAATAGAATAAACTCATTCAATATCCTCTTTTTTCTCCTGATTTTATCTTCCTTCTTTGCTCAAGAGGAAAATGGGAAGTTTTTTGAAATAATGCAGGTAGCAAAAACAGGCTTCCCCAAGCAGCTGGGTGCTAGCTGACCTTTTAACTATAGGAAATTACCTTCCCTTCAGGAAATACCTGAAGTTACAACTTTGTAAAGCTATTACTTCATGTTTAGGGAAACCCTCCCTTCATCTGGACCAGTGGACACAATACTCTGGAAGGCAATGGGTTACAGAAGCTAAGGGCTCTGCCCCTACTTCAGGATGAGGGAAGCATATGGGAAGTAAGTCTTCCAAACTCTATTCCAAGTTCCTGGCACAACTGGGAGCACAACTCAGGGACAAATGATTTTCTGTGTCTTGCTCCATAGTCATACAGACAAGAAAAGAGAAAGTGGATCATTCTCTGCATCTTCTCTACGTCTTTTTATCTGAAGAGCTGTGGATAAGGAAGCCTTTTCCTAGAAATTACCAACCACACAGCTGAGGAGATGCCCTGCCATCATGCTCCCTTATGACAAGAACTGGATTCCCTGGCCAGGATGTAATAGCCTAGGAAGATCTTTGGGTTTTCTTACTCATAAAATTCTTCAAGAAAATAAAACATTCCACAAATGAGATGCTGGCTCAAGATATTAAGTCAGAAAAGGAAAAAAAGAGAATATATAAATATATAAATATAAATATATATATATATATATATACATATAATTATGTGATAAATAAAACCTCCCTTGCCTCTAGGGCCAAACCATCCGTGAGCTACAGCTCAGCTATGTCTTCTAACAGCTATGGGAAATTATCTGCTCTGATTACAGTAAGAACACTTCCACTCATAGAGGAATAGAAACCCCTTCTACCTCATCAAGCACCTTTTCACCACTTTGGGACATTTGCTGATCCATACATACTGAGAAGCTCACAGCAAAATGCTGGGCTGATCCCTACAAGCTTCCACCAACCTCTTTCAATCAGTTTTTCTCAAGGAACCTCAGGCTTCTGGAAAGTTGAATAAGGTTGTTTTAATTCCTTCACTACTGGCTGCCAGCTAAAGAGGCCTGCACCTGGCAAATGCTCTCAACAAGTCACGTCAAACCGCTAGGAGCAATCCATATTAAAAAGGGTATTTTTTTCAGAGGTAGGTAGAAATGAAGTGGTTTTGGCTCAGAATCTTGTAGATGATCTTCTATACATTCATTCTTCAAAAAACATTACATTATTTATGCTCTTTGTCTGTCTCTTTTCTGGCAAAAAATGTTTTCCTTTTAAAGAGGGGGACTTCAATGAGGTTTCAAATATTGTTCAAAAACTGTGTCCCAACATGCCTACCTCCTATCAAACATTTTAATCACATACAACCTCCTTCCCCCCTCCCAAGTCTTAGTACTGAAGTTTTAATTAAAAAAGTCATCTCTTTATTCCTCAGAGTAATTATATAGGTACATCTCTTTGGCTTTCAAATAAGGTTCTCCTGTTAAGAGTTTGTACCCACTGGCTATACTACTCTCAGGAAAGGCAGACAAGAAAAATAGATTGGGCCAGACACAAAGGAAATGGTTGTGCACAGAGATTGCAATGCTCTGTACCACCCCACCTGGTTTCTACCCAGACCGTACAAACCCATCACCAAAATGGGTCCATACCATTGCATTCCTTAAGAATGAAACACAGGGAAAGTGGGAGAAAGGCAAATTAATGGGCTTCTCCAGCTTGATTATTACTCAGTCTGCAGGGCCAACAAACTCCAAACACCCAAATATGAGGAAGGGAAGAGGTACAAGTGTGAAATCACCAGGACTCCCCATCAGGAACACCTCTGTGCCACTGGCATGCAGTCAGTGAGGGGTATCTCTCAGCCTGAGAAGGGAGGGCAGCTCAAGCACCTGTGAGTGCACAAAGCCTCACAGCAGCTTGAGGCAGCCTCAAGCAGCCTCTCTGCAATCTGAACACCAAGAGGACGAGCAATGCAAAGGAACATTTTGGACTTGTACAAGAAGCCTATGGTCTCTGCTTGGAGATCCACAGTCTGTCAGGAGACAGCTGTGACTGGGGAGAAATGTTGATTCAGTGTTCTACAGAAAGTCTTCCCCTTCTCCCATGTCATATTCACACAAAAATCAGTATTTTCACTGTTTAGTAAGAAAGAAGAACATAAAATTCACGGAATTATTTATTCTTTATTGTTGTACGGAAAGAATTTTCTCTATAGAGGAAAAAACAGATGTTAAAGCATACAGCATTCAAGAACATGTGTGCTACAGCTAATTCCCACCCCCTTGTCAGTACCTCTTTTAACCCACCATCTGTTTGGCTACTCACGTTCACATATGTTAGTGCTCCCAGCTGTTGCAGGTTGCCACTGCTTCTGATTATATCCAGGGCAGCAGTGGTCACAGGTTTCCCCACAAGTGTTATGCTGACATTCACACTGAAACCTACAGAAATGAAAGCCTCTTGAAGAAGCTGGGCTTAAAATCTTTTCCTTAAGTTTTTTAATAAAACATAATTGGATTTTTCTTTGTTTTACCACAGTCTAAGACTCACACACAGTATGAAAAGGATAGGATATAAACCCAACATGTAAAGAAGTTCACCAGTAATACTACAACATTTTGGAAATTTCCTAAAATTCTTCAAGATAGATTACTTTAATCATGTGATTATGAGTTTCTTAGAACACATTGCTTAGAGAAAACCTTTATAATTTGATGCAACATCCTGATCCTGAATGGATCCTGAAACCATTTTATATTATTAAATCAAGTTGACATACAGTAGTTTAGGATATATCTTGTTTTGGCTTTGTTCCAAGGCTGAAATTTGTTGACCTACAGTAATCAAAGTATTTATCACCTTTAAATGAATGCCTTCATAACTCCTCCATTATACTTTGTTTAAAATAATTTTATCAGTGTTTTTAATAAACCAAGATCATAACTTGATCATGTTATTTTTAAGACTGTGCACACTATTTACCAACAAAATGTAAGCATGTTTTTGATTTATTTAGCTGAATAGCCTACTTTATTCTTGTTATAAGAAAGTAGGCTATTCAGTAGGCTATTATGTATTTCTTATTCAGTAGGCTATTATATATTTCATATTCTTACTTTCTCTCACAACATTCTTCTATTATATGTGTAGTCTAATAACACAGAAGCAATAAAACTTTCGAGTACAACCATCCTATTTTCATAGATTTCTCTCCTTCTTTACTTCCTTTTCCCTAGCACAGATATCAAGAAAGGAGGCACCCATCTCCCCCACTTATTCTTTGTTAAAACACAACTTAAAATATTTCATTGTCTTGATAAAAGTTTCTTTTAATGTCATCATGGATAAGAGCAACAGCTGGTTTAAAGCATGTTTTTAAAATATGTTTGAGACAGGCTGATCACTTGTAGCCACTTCCCTGTAACAGATGAGCCAAGAAGTCTCATTTAACTCCCTGTGAAATCAGCATAGAGGTCAAAAACTTGACAGGGAAAGGGAATAGTCCATTCAGTTTGTCTTTATGTTTTTACAGTAACAATCTAAAGCCATTGGAACTTGCATGAGCTCAGTCATAGTGCTCGATATCCTCATAAAGTTCATGATTTTGTTCCCGAGTTGGACTTCTAATTCCTGATGCAAGAAGGTGACATCAACTCTTTCCAAAAAGAACTATGTGTTTCTAAAAACTATGTGTTTTCTAATTATTAAATCTGCCAAACTTGTATTTCAATTAAAATGAAAAACCGAAGTAAAGACTTTCTATTATTATATTTCACATACAATCGCTCTTGACATGTTTTCTTGCCAACCATTAGCAGGTTCTATTTCTTTTAAAAATAAAGAAAAATTTCCCTGTATAACTACATAATCCTATAATAAAAAAAGATCATTTGAAAGCAATTATATATTCTTTTTCTCAGATAAATGTCAGGCTCCCTTTACTTACTGGTATTGGTTTTCAGCGCTCTTTGGATTGCATACTTCAGCATGGCCATGGCAAACACACCGACCACCAATACTGATGTCCTTTATACTGTAGTAATACTGTGGAACAAGCACAAGAAGTATGTATAGGTCTTTCCTTGCTTGCACTGTGTCAGTAATATTATTAAACATCAGGTTTGCTAGACTTGGAAGGTCTCTACCATAAAAATGTGCACTCTCCTTTAGGAATTTAATAAAGCACTCGAGATTTCATTCATCTATCCTACAGCCCTTGGCCTGGATAACACAGAAGTTCCTTACACTACAGCTGTGCTGCTTGCCAAGTAAACTGCATACTGCATTTACCTCTGCCTGTGAGCAACATCTTAAAATTTACTTAAGGCAGTAAGGGCACTTGATAGGAGTGCTGTCAAATAACTGGAATAGCTTTATGTTTTTCAGTGCAGAAACCCTCACACACATTTGTGTGGTGCCTCACCCCAGGGCTTCCTCCAATTGTTACCGAATCTTCATTTTAAATGAAAAGGTTAAAAATAGCAACACAAAATGAAGCCTGAAACCTCTGTAAGTATATGAATTTCTGTGTGGTGCTCCCTGTGTTTCCTTATATTTACCCACTGAATGGGAGTGGAACTTTGGCCTTCAAACTCTTGGATAGCCCAAAATGCACTGAAAACACCTAGTACAGCCTTTGATTTCTGCTCCTTCAGAAACTCAGGTACTATTTTCTGAAAACCTTTTGTGAATAAGTATCAGAAAGTAGCGACAAATAGAGCTGAAGAGATTTAGTTCCTCAGTTCTGCATAAGATAGTTAAGAATAATTTTGCTTTGGCTCTTTTTAATTCACATGATGCACTCAGCTTCCTTCCATATTAAAAAGCAGGGAATGAAAATGGTCTGTTACAAAATCATTAATCATCACTGCCCCTCCATAAATCCATGCTGGCCCAGGTACCTTCTCGTCTCAGACAAACCTGGAGAAAAATATGAGGATTTCAAGGTTGGTCAAGGCAAATTTCATTGTCAGGATGTTACAGGCTTAAAACATTCAGACCATTTTTTTGGTCCCTAACATGCTGGGTACGATTGTTGAGTATTTACGTCTCGGTGACAACAGTACTTACTCTACGAGTCACAGTGGGGTCTCGCTGAGCTTTGGATATCAAGTGTCCAAGAAGAGTATTAGTTCTGAGAAAGCGCAGGCGGATGTTTGTTGCTTTTGTGAATTCTTGAAGACCAGGGGAATAAGTGAAGTTTTTTGCTCCTGGGCGGCCATTTACCAAAGATACTACAATCTAACAAAGAAGCAAGCACACTCTTGTTAAAATATATCAACTACAGGTGCCAATAGCAGCATAGAGCAGAACTAATAAAAGAATATAAAAACTTACTATTGTTTCTAGTAACAACTGGGCATTTCATACTGAAGTCAGGATATTGGGAAAAATAGTGTTGTTACTCTTGGAGCCTCCTGTATTCTCATTATCCATATAACACATCAGAAAAAAAGCAAAAAAAAAAAGAAAAAAAATAGTGCTTCTACCTGTTTTGAAAACAGTAGGTATAGCATGCAAAAAGTACATTTTAATAGGGAAAAAACAATAGGAATAGTTGCAAGTAGTTGTTTGAACAGTTGACGGTGTCAATGGAAGTTTAGCCTGATTAAAAACATCAGATTTTGGATCTTTCCCAAAGCACATTTATTTTTGGGTCAAGGCATAAACATTACTGGAAAATATTATTGTTAGCAGGTCCAGTGCCTGCAAGCATATTAATGGTCTTCTGGAAGAAAGTACACAGTGTTGCTTTAGAAAATCCCCTCACATGAAAGTAAGTTTGTCTGACTTCCAAAACAAGGGATCCAATACGTTTTTTATTTTTTAAAGAAACAGCTGCCAGCAGCTCAGCAATCATGCATCTCTATTGAACAAACAACCTAGTTTGTATGTACAGGGCTCAGTTAAAAAAACATTAATTTATTTATAACCATCCAGATAACAGATTTCTATTTTCAAGTAGCTTCTATACTCTGAAACATGTAACAAGGGTATGATGATTGTTCCAACTGCAGCACAATTCCCACAGGAAAAGTCACAGAGCATGTAATAGGGAATGGCATCAGCAGTGTTCTTCTGTGGAAATTATTCTTTACAATATCTGATTAGGAAAATTTTGCAGATACTTTAACAAATAAGTTCTATTTTAATATGAAACCCTACATCCATCTGCTCAAAACTCTGGATAACTCTTGAGGAGTTCAGATTGGGATTATAACATCAGGCATAAAAGCAGAATGCCAGGAGTAGCCATCAGCACATCCAGGAGTTTAACATTCATTCAAGTAATAGAAGCCACAGTTCTGCCCAGCAAGGAACAATGGCTAAAATCAAACCAATGTTTTCCAAATACTTTAATATATTATAATCATGTCGCTTTCTTATATATATATATATGTTTGGATGGATATATATGTGTGTGTGTGTGTATGTGTGTGTGTACATACACATATATATGTATGTATGTATGTATGTATATGTTGTGGTTTTTTTTAACAGCTCCTTATTCTTGAATGGTAAATATCAGTTTCTACAGCCTTTACTCACATGAGCAACTCTGGTGCACTGGGTTTTGCCATGCACATTGGAAGTATTCAGAAAATGCAGTCAACACCTTCAAATGCACATGGCCATAGTGTGGTACATAAATGATGATAAATATCAACACAGGTTTCCCTGAGCAGCCCCTACCCCATAGAGAATGGTGAAAATTACAAGGAGTCAGCTCACGCTCCCAAAATCTCACTGAGGTTTAGGTTATGGACTTACTAATGGAGATTCAAGCAGTCATAGCCAAAAAAATTACTTCCAACAAACTTCTGAAACCAATGATGCTTGTTTCCAGCATCACTCATGGCTTTCCTGAAAGCACCTACCTCTCCATTTTCTAGAGGCAGAATGCGAGAGTACTCGGTAGTGCACAGGACATCGCTGTCCCTCCTCACAGGAATATTTGCTTCCTTTCCAAAGCGCTCCAAGCAATCTGCTTTTGAGTCTATTCAAGCAAGAACAAAATTAATTTTATATAAAATAGGCCCTATTGTTCTAATTTAACTTAACAGAGAAGTATCCCCTCTGCTTTCAGGTAAATTCTCCCCACAATAGAGTAATAACAGTGATTGTGTCACTCAGCACAGAGTAACAGACATTCCTCAAAACAATAATCTCTCTTCATAAGCAATTCAGTGGTGCCTGACAAGACATGGCATAGTATTTCTCATATCATCACCAGGAAGAAAAGCTACATAGATGCTCCAAGATTTTGCATTTATATTTCACTTTGATTTTTGCAGGAAACTCCGGGGTCCTAAGGGATGAAGGACACTGAAGTTCTGACATACCCAAAAAACAAGAGAAACAAAACAAATCAGTAATTTCTAAGAAAGTGAAAAATATTCATGCGCTGAATTACACTTTCATAATACCATACTCATACACCCCTGCCACTAATTTATTGTGGCTAAATAAGAAAAGATAAATGCATTTAACGTTCACTGTCTTCTCTTGCAGGTGAAATCTTCAGCAAGCCCCATGTTTTGATTTTGCTGCTACTGAGGAAACGATGAAAGAAACCTGTCCCCAAAAGACCAGTGGCACAAGGATTGATACTTACAAGCAAAATATTGCCATGGAGTGTAAGTTTTTCCGAAGTCCACCGATCTTTCCAAGACCCAGAGATCTGGACGAGGAGAATTTGCAAACTTGATAAGGATATAGGCAACATGGAAGAGCTGGTAACAGAATATACATAGATTTTGTCAGGAGCTTTTTCTTACCTCTATATAGCACAGCAGTAATAAAACTTACGCAAATAAACACTGTTTCTTTAGCGTACAGGGAGAAAGTTATTCTCTGCAGTTTCATTCCCGTTAAAATAAAGGCCAGATTCTCAGCTGGCTACTTCACCTGGCAATGTGTTTGAGAACATTAAGACATCTGCAAGAGGACCATGTTAAATACCATCTCCTACACTTCAGAACAGCTCTGCTGTGCAGCTGACTGATTGCTTGGGTGTGTTAAGGCTACAGTACTCAGCCTGGAAAAGTGATATTGCTCAACTTAGCTGCTTTTGCAGCACCCAGGTACATTTGTGATGCATTCCAATCACGTAATTGTGCTTGTCACTAAGGAATACCAAAATCATGTATGAGAAAATGCAAATACCCTTTACACTGGGACTCCCTTGGTTGATAATAATCCCAGCCACCCACACCCTCAGGTTAAGATTATCTTGAGATGAATTTGACACTTGACAGACTTTCCAAGTAATGGAAGCAAGACCTCAGAGTTTGTGGGTATCAAATAGCACAGGAGAGATTTTTGTAACTGGTAGCTCATTCACAGTGTCTGAAACAGACCAAAGAGCTCCTTCAGTTCAAGGTTCCCAAGGCCAAGAGGTTCATTGGGCTTCTTCAGGTGCTCATAGTGTATCACACAGAGGGCTCCCAAACACTAGAGAATAAATGCTTCTTACAAGACACGAAGTCTTACTGTAAGTCTCTTGGGCTAGTCCACAGTCATAAAAACCAGAACAACAATAAAAATTAGCTTTACACAAAAAGCTGAACACAGATTGATTCTAAAGGCCATTTAAAAATTAAAGCACGACATGGATGGAGTTGTCAATAAAAGTGAGCCAACACTGTGGTACACTCAATATTCAAGTAAAGCTACACTGGAATTTCCCCCTCAACAACCTCAACTGAGAATCATCTGCTGGCAGGAGAGTCTTACTTTAATGGGGGAGAGTGCAGTCAGCAGTTTATCAAGTAACTGCTGCCAGAGCCCCCACATCAAATACAGCCAAGCAGTTTATCTTTGCTCATACCTCACAAATGTCATAACCCTGAAGCTAATACTTTGCAAAGCTTATTAGACTCCAAACCACAAGTGCATACAAGCTCTTAACCACGAACTGGGAACAGCATCTTTTGGCACACCTGGCCCATTCAGCTGTCAGTTGGGAACAGTTCAATAGCTGTCACACCAACTGGGAACACCAAGAGGCAGATGCAAATGGTGAATAATGCAGTAACACAGATACCTTGAAATACTTGTCCTTAACCAGCTCTGCACATGACAATCCCACAGCTACATGTAGCCTCACATATTTATTTCAGACATCAGCTTCTGAGTATCTGTATAATGTATTCACAGTAGAAAGTAAAACCTTCTCATGGAAAAATGGGAGGAACTCAGGAACTTCATGGAACATGTTCTCATGATATCACATCTCATAAGGAAAAAAACTGAAACTTTTTTGTTGTGCATTCATTTAATGTAGAATGTACAACTTCTCTCCAGAGTAAGCCCTGTTCTACACACACACCAAGGCACGACTGCCACAGGTATAGTACTTTGCAACCTCTTTCAGAAACTTTCACTTTGCTAAATGCTGCTGACAGGTCAGTGAAAAAAGAACCAGGAGGAAAATAACCCAACTTTTCTGTTAGTGTTGAAATTTACCCTGCTGTTTAACACAGCCTGACAAGCACCAGCTTCACCTCCAGAGATACTAAATTAGGTACCTCAGCAAACAGACATTATCTCCATAGGAAAAATGACTTATTTGACAACAAACTGAGCACAGTAAGTGGCAGCTTGTTGACAGAGCCATGGCAAAACCTAAATCTATGCTCTATGACTGCACAGGTGGAGTAATGCCCTCAAATTGCTGATGGAAAGTCTGATTTTAGCCATTGTCAGAAATAGGTGAATACTTTGGGGACAGCGGCAAGATTTGCTCCTACTGAGCCTCTGATACTCTTTGAGTAACTCCTGCTACTTCACTGTCAAGTTTCATAGTAGAGATATTTGCCATACAAACATTACATGTCATCTGGTATGGCCACCCAGTGCAAAGGTTAGTATCCTCCTGGGAAAGCATAATGGCTCTGAAACTCCTAAAAAGAAAAAAAGTGCTTCATGTTCTCACTTTTGGTCACCTGAATTTCTCAAGGGGCATCTACCTGTTCAAACCAGGTTTTCGCTGGCAGGCAACATTAATATATTGCCTTTCTTCTCCTGCGTCTTAAAATCTTTGGAAGTCCTATCTTGACATGCATGCTAGCAAGTGCTGATAACACTCCATGTGTTGAATGATACAGATTTAACCAAGACAAGTGGTTTAGAATGCTCAAGAGGAAATAAAGGAAGCATATAGACAATGTCTTGCCTTTTCCAGGGCTCCACTGCTTGTAGTCATATTGTGGAGTGAACAATGACCTCACACCTACGCTTAAAAATCTGTATTATACCAGGAACTCTGCAAGTCTGCCAATGCTAAAAGGATTGCCACCCAGTACCACTCCTCACACATTTCCATGGAAATAAAATATGGAAAGAAAAAAAAAAAAGTATGGCAACTTCACAGTACTGTTGTACATGAAAGGCTTTGATTTGTATGATGTTCTTCTTACATCTCTCAGTTTGAAATGCTGCTGAGGTTTGTACACGCACATTCAGAATGGGAAAAGGGACAGGTCTGATAAAAATTAAATTAGTATTAGTTAATGACAACATGTCACCAAAACATAGTCACCAAGTCTATCATCTGTCTTACTTCTGACTTTGCATGAGTGCCTATGATTTGGTTTTGGCCTGAATCAAGGACGTAGAATGGCACTTGAACATCTGAACTTCCACTAAGCTTAAATACTGACCAAGTTCATGAATGGCCTCTCTCCAGATCTGATGAGACAACAACAGAAGAAAAATAATCCTTGCCTTAGCAAATAAATCCCACCTGAAGATAAAAGAGTAACCTTGCTGACGTAAGACCTAGAAAAGCAACCATTAAAGCCAATTTTAATCACATATTCTAAGATGGAATTTCACTACTTTAAATCTTGATCCTGACCCAAGACCTACCCTGGCAAAAAGGCAGACTAAACTCAAAGCAATGTTTTCCTTCAGCCATTTAGTTATGAGAAAAAAAAAGAAAGTGCCTTAATTTTTGAAAAAAAATGTTTATTTGGTTGCTTTTAAGCCAAATTTGTTTCATAAAAATCTAACCATCTCTCAAAAGGAATGTTAAAACTGTAAGCAAGCATTTTGGTATAATTATATAATAGTAAAACAAATTTTTACAAAAGAATCACAGAAATATGACTTAATCAAAATTCTGACCATTTTCTTATATGAACAAAGAACTGAATTTAAAGGTGGAAACAGCATTTATTTTCCAGTAATGGAAACAATGCACTCTGGAAATGCATTCTTGAAAGAGGATGTATTACTGTAAGAGTCAAATTATCTTATCCTGCTGTAATCCAATACCATAGGTCAAACCTGACTGATTGACAACAGCTGGAATTTAATCAATTCCACATTGATGTGACCTTTTTCCTGTTCACTCAGGTTTGTTCAGATTTAAAATGTTCTAGCAGCCAATGGCCTTAAAGATTCATGAAAACCCAGAAATTTTTTTTAAAAATCACCCAATAAATAGAATGAACAAAATGCCCTCCTCATCTGAAAATGAAAATCAAAATTCAGTGTTATGCACAGTGTTATACAAAGAGAGAGATTTCTATAAAAGCTATTTCAGGTGAACTTAAGATGATATTAAAAGAAGTCATTTAAATTGATTGAGAACTACATTGTACCATTATTGTTAGTGATATAATATTCATGATCTCTAGCAGCATGCACACTACTTACTCTAAAACAATATAAAGAAAACTTCCCATTACCCATTGCATTCTAATGAGAATGCTAAAACACCCAATAATATTAGTTAAAAATGTTTTCCTTATTTTCTTCTTAAAAGTTTAAACAACTCTTTACATATGGAAATTGCCAAGATTTTTTTGAATCATAGAAAGCATTAAAAAATGGATAGAAGTTAGATATGCATATATAAAGGTATAGCACATTTTCCTCCATTCCTGACACCATAAACTCAAACCAGAATACTAAAACACTGAAATGACTTGTTAGATGAGTGCTGGACATAAACTAGCACAAAAGCAAAAACACACTATGTTCCAAACAATCATGATGTTGTGTATGCTGCTTCTGTAGGAAAAGACTGTTCTCCCTTTTTAGCTCATGAAGATTAAAAAGTCCTGGACTGTGGTAGTAGCAAGAACACAACTAAATCCAGGTAGACCATCTATCTGAGGTATTCTGTAGATCATTCAAAAGATGCACCAAAACTTCCCTCAACATAGTATAGTTGTTATTGTAGGTTTCTTTCATTATCTTGAATAATGTGGTTGGTGTTGCAGATTTCTCAGAAGAGACAGAAATCTGATATGATTCAGTAAACAAATCAAACTTCTCAAAGGGAGACTGATGCAGGAGAGGGATTCAAGGAGTGTGAACTGTGCTAAGCTGCTCCTGAACACACCTTAGTGCCACTGCACGGGGTTGGCATGTGCATGCCCATTGGTTTCTTGGTGTAATGAAGTCTTAAGGTCTTGAGCATTGTTTACTCTCAGAGACCAAGCCACAAAAGCATGAACAGATGAAATAAGATAAGTGAAATAAAAATCCCATATATTCTGGCTAAAATTAAAGGCTTTGATCTCTTGATGCTGCAAAGAAGGAAGCAGTCCTTTTATTCAAACATCTCAGCAGGACTTGAGGCACCCTGACAGATCCAGGTACTGTATAAAGCACTCCTGACAGTCAGTATTTGTCAATCCCCAACAATGTGTGTATATATATATATATATATATATACATACACATATACACATACACACATATATATCATAATATATTA